TATCCCAGCTCCTGGGGCAGTTTAGGGATGGTATCCCAGCTCCCAGAGCAGCTCATGGATGGTATCCCAGCTCCTGGGGCAGCTCCAGGCACAGCCCAGGGATCCATGTGCACCATGAAACCCCCACGCACTCCCCTGCACCTCATGTTTTGGGGGGCAATTTCTCCCCAAGACCCACAGCTGCACCTGGATTTGCTTTGACGCACCAGTGAGTGCTGCTCTCCTGATGGGGAAACTGAGGCACCAGGAGGTGATGTGGCTGCCAGGGCCATGTGCTTCACCCGTGAGAGGGCACCGAGCCCAGGGTTTCGCACACCCAGGACGCAGCAATGCCCCAGCTCTGCACTGGGAGGGGACACAACGAGAACTGTGTGGCTCCAGCCAGACCCAGAGAGCCACACAGGAGGCAGGCAGGAGCAGTGGCAGCCCCAAGGGGAGTCTCCTGCCCGGGCCTCACCCACCTTTGAAGAAGTAGAACTTCCCAGTGAGCTGGGACCAGGCGCAGGCGTCGATGCCGGCGGGGAGGCCGGGCCAGCGTGGCTGCAGTGGCCGCGGGTCACTGGCGTTGCCACTGGCTGACACCACCCAGTAGTGGCTGCCCTTGAAGATGTAGAGGTTGTGATCTCCATCTGTGAGGCAGAGGGAGGATACCCCAGGTGAGAAATGTTATTGAAGCACCCTCCACTGCTACCCAGATCCCCTGTCCTCCCCGTGCAGCCCCGTGGTGCTTTGGGGATCCTCAGGGTTTGGATGCTTCCTCCTGCCTTTCCAGCCACCCCCTCGGCATCCGGAATTCATTGCCTCCCCTCCAGGCATGAGAAGAGAAATGCTGGCCGCAGTTCAAGGCTTATCTTGCTCAGCTGAGCTCCTGCAGTGATTAATCCTTACCACGGCCCAAGTTTTAGGGTGTTTTCCCTGCTCCTGACACATCACTGTGCCCTCAAAGGGCACTGCTTCACTGTCCATCAGTGATGCCACCAGTGCCAGGAGCTGTGCACCAGCCAAACCCACCCTTCCCAGCACTGGGAGCTGCAGCAGCACTGGGACAAGGGGTAGGGGTGCACATTTTGGGAGGGGGTCACAGTGGCCAACACCCACCGGCGGTTATGGCATCGAAGAAGGAGTGGCAGTAGTAGGTGCTGAGGCTCCTCTGCTGGTGGTCCCTGTCGTGAAGGTCCATGTTCCAGTCCTGGAAGTGAGTGAAGACCTTTCCTGGGAGCTGGATAGCCGAGCCCTTGGAGGGCTTTCCTGGGATGGAACAAGGGGTGGTGAGCCCGGAGAAGGGACAGAGAAACAACTTTTCCCAAAGCATGAGGCTGGGACTCCCAAGACTCCAAAGACTCCTTGTCCCATTGTGTGGTTCCTATCCCACTCAACATGATGGTGGCAAAAATCCCTTGGTACCCCAAAAAACATGCACCAGCAGACAGGCGGGCAGCAAATCCAACCTTCCCTGCCCTGGAGGCCCTGGGACAGGTACCAGGGCTGCATTTTCCTCCCCAGCCACACACAGGGATGTGATCCATGTGGCTGTAGCCCTCTCCCCTTTCAGGGACCTGCTGCCATCCCTCCTGCTCATTCTCCATCTCAGAGAACAACCCTGGAGGACCCAAGGGATGCTCAGGGAAGCCAGGCTCACCGTACAAGTTCTGGATGGCCAAGATGTCATCCCAGCTGAGGACGAAATCCTTGCTGAGCTTCTTGTAGTAGGGAGACATCAGGGCGCTCTTGACGGGCGAGTGCTGCAGCCCCAGCGTGTGCCCGACCTCGTGGGCCACCACGATGAAGAGGTTGCGCCCCTTGCCGCTGTGCAGGGACCAGCGCTCGGCGCTGTCGAAGTGGGCTTCTCCTCGCCGGGGGAAGAAGGCGTGGGCCAGGGCACCTCCTGGGGACACCAGAGCCATCAGGGACCACGGCACACGCAGCTCTGGCTTGGGTGTGGGTCAGGGTTAGGTGTTTCTGGAGGAGCCCGTGTTCGGAGGGCTCCTCGAGGGCCTGCAGGGAACGTCTCGGCCACCTTGCTGGCAGACCTCAGTGGCAAAGTTGGGAGGAGGGACCCCCAAATCAGGCAGCAAACTGGTGCAAACTGGACTAGAGAGACTGCGGAGCCTCCATCACCCCCAGCCCACCACAAGCCCAGCCTTCCTCCTGTCAGAGCACATCTTTCTGGCTCCCCGGATGCCTCAAGACCCTGGCAGGGGGCTCAGAGACCTTGGCAAGAAGTCAAAAACATCTGTGGCTTCGATTTTAGCCCCTGGAAGAGGCTGCCAATTCTAGATGAGGAATTACAAATCAAAAGGGTTTGAATAGTGTAATAGGGGAATTGACACAGGGTGGAAAAGTAGAATTTTGGGGTTTTTAGAATGTAATTCAGGAGTACAAGATGGAGGAATTTTGGTGTGTCCTAGCCTTTTTCTCCTTCTTCTTGTCCTCCATGTCTTGGTGTGATGGTGACACTTTTCTATTGGTTAGGATAGGGACACACTGTCCAACATAGATGTTAGATATTAGTGCATTGTTATAAACAGATGATACGTAACTTTTGATATAAAAGGTAAACACCACTCAGAGGGCACGCCAGACTGCCATGGCTTCTGTACTAGGCAGACCTCAACAGGTCGGAGAGAAAATACCATAGATGAGGAGAAATAAACAACTTTGAAAACTCGACTTCACGTATCCCAGACCTCTTTGGCTGCCGGGCTAGGCGAACAAAGACTTCCCCACTGTTGGGGTCTCACCAGAAGACCCAGCCCTCCTCCCTACCGGGGAAGAGCCCACGTTATAAAGAGAAGCTTACGAGGGGGAAGCGACCAGCACCTGGCCCATCGAAGGCGTTGCTGAGCCCGTCGTTGTGGTCCCCGTGGAAGAAGGTGAGGCGGATGTCCGCGGGGCCGCCCCGCGTCTCCCCGAAGCGCAGCGAGGACACGTTGCTCCAGAGCTGGAAGGCGGCTCGCACGGCCAGGCGCACCTCGTGCTGCGGCAGGTAGGACGGCCAGTTCACCACCCGGTACGTCAGGTGCCGCTTGTACCAGCGCCCACCTGCAACGGGACGGGCTCAGCGTGCCCCCTTGGCCTTCTCCTGGCACACAGGGGCTGCCTGAGTGGGAGAAAACTCCATGGAAATGTTGTGGTTTTCCCAAGGCAAACGGAGAATTGAGGCAGCGGCAGCACCGCGATTAAATCTTTCCGAAGGTGCCGCCACTAGAGCTCACCCAAGGCTGGAGTTGTAACCAAACCCTGTGTCCTGGCTTGTAAGATCAGCATGGATTCTATTGCCATCTGTTGGAGGTGGGGCAGTTTTCTTATCTCTCCCAAGAGCAATGTCTCCCTCCGGGGAGATATCTTCTGTTAATGGCCATTAATGACTCCCTGCATGACTGGTGAAGTTCCATCATCCCATGGTGAGATGCTCCACCCAGAGGGAGGAGCCAAGCATTCCTACCTGCATAAAATCAGCATTTTTGAGACACTGGCAGCCACTTCTCTGGAGAAGAGAAGCAACTTCTTCTCTGCTGAATTCCCAGAGGAAGACCAGGCCCAATTACTCCCAGATCTTCAGAGAAAACTCCACCCTTCCAGAGATCACCACTTCAGCAGCATTTCATCTTCCACTCCAGGAGGAGCAGCCACCATTTAACTGGACTATTCCCAATACCCTGACTCCTCAGGGTGTCAGGTTTCTGACTCCATCACTAGTTTCGTTTGTACTCATTACATTTTAAAAATTATTATTATTTTCATTTAGTTTTTCTCCTAGTAAAGAACTGCTATTCCCATTCCCATATCTGCCTGAGAGCCTTTTTTAAAATTGTGGTAATTTGGAGGGAGGAGGTTTACCTTTTCCATTTCACAGGAGGCTTTTGCCTTCCTTCAAACTCCTGTCTTTTCAAACCAAGACACCCTGAAACCTCTCTGAGGAGATGAGAAGCTGTGGCACCAACTTTGAACTTTGGTTCACAGAGCCAAATCCAGCATGGGTCCCTGTCAGGAGGTGCTGCCTGATGGCAGCTTCAAGTCCAGAAGGTGCAGCCCAAGGGCTGGATTTCAGGGAGAGCAACCAAAGCCACCTCTGAAAAGGTGGGAGAAAGGTAAAGGAGTGGGAAGCGCTCTCAGCAGCACCTTGGGGGCACAGCTTAGTGCCCAAGGCCTCCTTAAAAGCTGTCAGGGGAGACAGAGCCCTGATGCTACCAGGACAATTGGGGACAACTAGGACAATGAAGGGGACAAGCGTTGTGACTTCCCCTAAGCTCCCCAGCCCCCCTACCACACAGGAGGGCGAAGATGAGAGTTCACATAGTTGCTGAGCAGCATTACAGCCCCCTCCTCCTCCTCCTCCTCCTCCTCCAGCACCTCTCGGCAGCTGTGGGACCCCAGAGCCCTGGGATTACATTTATCTGGAGGCATCTGGGAGCAGGAAAAAAGCCATGGGGCCCTGTGGGGATGTGGGTGCCGGAGCTGGTGCTGAGGCGTGGGAGTGGGGACAGAACTCCAGCATCTGCCTCTGCTCCAGATGTGCAGGAAAACAGGGGGAACAGAGCCGGCAGCACGCCGGGGCTCCGTGCTCTGGCTCTGGGTTGAGCCTCCCAGCAAGCCTGGCACACACAGCTGGCACACACAGCTGGCACACACAGCTGGCACACATCCCACCCCAGCTCTGCCTCCTTCTCCCCATGGCTGGGGACACTCTGGGCCAGCTGGTCACACTCCTGGGGACAGAATCAGTTCCCACTGCTCCTCAGTGCAGTGATGGCCTCCAGTTCCAAAGGGACACAGATGAGCTCCCACTCTGCACAGCAAAAGCTAAAAGCAAAAAGCAAAAAGCATCCCTAAAACTAAGCCTGGCACCCCATCCTTCCCTCCACAGGAGCAGAGCATCCACCGCCAGAGGAGGATGGGCAAGGCTGGCTCAGCAAGGCTGGCTCTTGGGAAGAGCAGGGCTTGGCTTTGTCCCCGTGCTGGGCTCTGAGTGTGCCCCAAGGCAGCGGCATGAGGGACACAGGGGCTGCCCAGGGAAGGTCCTGCTGGGAAAGGGGTGGATAACAAAGCACTTTGCTGGCTCAGCTGCCAGGGTTTCCTGCTTTGAGCAGGATAAACAGCACAAAGCCTCCCCCAGCCTTCCTGCCCAGTGCCACCAGCCCTGCAGGCACTCCCTGTCTCCCATCCAGCCCGTGGGTACAGATGTGCTGCTGTCCCATCCCCGCTGCTTGTGGCATCAGTGCACCAGAGCAATAACCAGTGCCACACTGAGCCCTTTCCTTGAGCCATTGGGGCATCTCTTGCCACCCACCCATTTTTATGATCCCCAAAAAGGAGCCTCATGAGCCACAGGGCACTGGCTGCTTCTGTTTGCCCACCTCCTGCTGCATGCCCTTCCTCCTCTGCTCACTGCCAACGTGTCCTGGGCACAGGATGGCTCCTTCAAGGGAGACATGCCGGGGCTTTGGAAGGAAATGCAGAGGCTGGAGGAGGATGACAGGGCTCTCCTGGGGCTGTCCATGGCCAGCCCTGCCAGATGCACAGGCAGCCTGACACGGCACAGAGCCTCCCCTTAATCTCCCCTTCGTTTTTCCCATGTCCTAAGCACAGCTGGCCCTGGCCCTCTCGCTCTCTAGGAATCCAGTTACTCATCTGCAAGCCCAAAGAGAGCTCACAAGGGATGAGAGGCCCAGTCTTGGGCACACAGGAGCACAGAAGGATGCTTGGAGAAGACTTAAACCCCTTAACATGGGTGAAATGACTCTCAGGTCAGGCTGCCAAGTGCTGGCAGGTTTTTGGTTACTGCTGTGTCCTTAATATGCATTAGAAGTCCCAAAGATCAGAAAAACCTGGAGATAACTTCACTGTGTGCCGGCCTCTGCCCTCCAGATCACGCCAGCACAGCTGTGTGTGGAGCCGAGTGCTCCCTGGGAGATGTCCTGGCTCCCACAGCAGCAGCAAAACCACCCCAAAAATTGGGAATCCAATCTCTAACCAAGCCACAGAGAGACCAACTGAAAACAAAAAGCTTTAAAAATAACCTCCAGGCGTATCCCGGGCTGCGCCTCCCACCCGCAGCATCTTCCCCACGAGCCCGGGAGGGCAGAGCCGAGCAGCCCGGAGCGCGCCGGGAGCCGCGGTGCTCACCGTGCTGCGGCGTGCGGCGGCGCCGGGCGGGCGGCGCCCCGGCAGCGCGGCCGTGCCCGTCATCCGTGCCGCACCTCGGCAGAGCCATCTGACGGAGCGTGGGGGCATCCAGCACCCCGCTCGGCGGCAGCTGGCTCACCCGCTGGAAATGCCTGCGAAAAGAAGGGATTTATCAGTAGCCACATCCAGACCCCCCCCCGCCGGAGGGGTTTGGGAATCTTTGACCCGATTGAGCCGGGATTTTCACCCCGTAAGCAACCCAGAACTTCATCCCGGTGGTAAAACAAGGATTTGGCTCTGCAACCACAGCTGACCTGCTAGTCACCTCTTAGCAGGGTAAAGGAGCTTAAAAATAGAGCCCAAAAGTGCCTTTTCCAGTTTTTAACCCCAGTTATTTGACGTCTCATTTAATTTGGTATCTGGCTTTGCACAAGGTCAAGCCCGGGATGCTCCCAGAGCCGAGGTGATGTCCTTAGGAGAAGCCCAGGCAGGATTTGGCAGCTCTCCCCCATGACATCTCCCAGCCGTCCCCAAGCTCGGCCTCCCCCCAGATTTTATTGCGAGGCAAGCACCGGGCCATAAAAGGCAAATAAAGCAGCGAGAGCCGGGTGCCAGCAGCCGGCACCCAGCTGGGGGAGCCGGGCACGGGCCCGCCTTTCCAAAAAGGACTGGCTGTGCTTTAGCATCAGACCGTGAGACAGAGAGCCTCCAGCTGCAAAAAGACCCCTCTGGCTGCAAAAACAACAACAAAAAGGCCCCTCGGAGCGCTGGCAGCATCCCTGCGGCTGGAGCTGCAGTTTGGAGCGCAGCGCTGAAGAAAAGGCTCTGTTATGTGTAGTAAATATAATTCGCACCATTCCTTGTATGAAATATGGAATATTGGATACTTGTTAGATTACGCCCGTTTGTATCAGTTCCCCCCCTTTGCAGGTGAGACTGGGTGTATATTGGGAACTGATTTACAAGTAACAGGATGTGGCTCGGCAGGAGCTGGGCCATGGCTGGGCTCCAGGTGCTGACACCAGGACTGCAGGTGTTGATCATCGGTGCTGATCATCACCCAAGATGGATCTCATGGAAATCCTCAGACAGATCCATGTGAATGCAGCCTTCCCATAAATCTCATCAGGGATTCACCTACTCCAGACACTGAATTATTCCTCCTCATCACCAAAAAAAGAAAATCTTATTAACCTATAGACTCTGAATAGAAGAAAAGACTAACTGTTGAAATCTTGGCCTCATGTGGAATTTTCCCTATAAAAACCACTTGTGCCGGGATGGAGGGGTGTGGGCATGGGGAAAACTCTGCTGAGGCTGACTCCTTGTGGCACACCCAGGGTTGATCCCTGGGCTCGGCTCTGTTCTTTCCTTGTGGCTGGCTAGATAAAATTTGATTGCAAAATAAACATTTTATTTTTTCATATTAATTTGGCTGGACAAATTTTCATTTACAACAGGCTCCCACCTCAGTGCCTTGGAGAACTCAGCGGGGCTGTGTGTGCCGGCCCCCAGCTCGCTGAAGTAGCCGTATTTCTCCAGGAAGAGCTGCAAGAAAAAATAGGAAAGGTGCAGCTCAGAGCACGTGTTGGCTTGGGAAGGGGTAGGGGAGAGAAAGGAGGTGGCAAACAGTGCTGCAAACCCAAAAATGCCTGCTTGTTTTGCCCCTGAGAGCTCTCAGCGCCTCCTGTGCCCGTACAGGTTCCTGGGTGTCTCCTCCCCATCATTTTTGGATGGCTTTTGGGGTTTTTGGTCACGACACGATGGAAAGAGAGAAATGAAAAAGAGAGAGATGAAAAACCTCTGCTGCCATCTCCTGCTCAGCTCTGATGGCCCCGGCTCAAGGCAGGGGTTCAGACCAAGCCCAGGTGCCAGCGGGGCGGGGGGAGCTGGGCTCAGGCTCAGCCTCCCCCCGTTCCCACGCAGGATGTGCTGCTGCAAAGTGGGGACGCTGCGGGTGCAATTTGCTTTGCCAAACCATTCTTCTTCTTATCGGCCGGTGACACGGACGGAGATTGCCTCTCTGAACTCGCTCCAGCATTAAATGGTTATGTTAAAGAAAATAAACGGCTCGGGCTGCTCCCCGGCCCTTGGAGGAGTTAATAGCCGGGGTCACAGGAATGCTCCACGCCCGCCTGCCCCGCCGCCAGGGATGTCTGCGGGAGACAAACAAGCTGCCCAGCATCCTGTTAGTGCAGCAGAGCCGCGGTTACAGCAATGAAGAATCAGAATAAAAAGTGAAAGTGGCGGCTTCCCTTCCCCGCATCCCCAAGGAGAGGTGTGCTGAGCTCCAGGGATGCCACGGGCTGGCCCAGATGGCACGGCTGGTGTTTTGAAAGCTGGTTCCCTCCTGGCTCATCTCTGGCCGGGAAAGGGAGGGGGTTGGAGGGTTGACCTCCTCTCAGCACTGCTCCTGACTGTAGGTGACCCAGTTCTCCTGTATGTCCCTTCAGAGGAGGCAGCAGCACCTCCTGGGCCTTGTCACCCGGCAAGGAGCAGGAATGGTGTGTGGGTGTGGCAGTCCGGAGGTGTGCCAGGGCCTCTCCCTCTCCTCCTCCTGCCCAAACCTTCTGCTTGCTATGAACAGTCATCCTCATGTCATCCCCAAACACCTCACCCCACGTGTGGGCAGGCACATCCACGTGTGCTCTGCAGACCTCACCTCCTCCAGTTTCATCTCCTCCAGTTTCATCTCCTCCTTTACACCCCCTCTACCTGGAGCATCCCCCTCTGGCAGAGGACCAGCGCAGATTCCTGCCTGGACACGCTCTTTGCTCAGCCCCACCCAAAAGAATTTGGCTGGTTTTCCCACCAAAGCTGCCTGCCTCAGCTGGAGGCACCAGCAGCTCATCCTGGCAGTGCCAGGCTGCAGCAGCAGAGCCTGAGCATGGCCAGAATCTCCCAGACACCCCAGAGTGGTCAGCGAGTCAGGAGACATCAGGTAAGTGCCACACTGGCAGGGAGAGCATTGGTTTGTTTGTCAGGAGAAGCCACAACACCTCTGCCCAGGGTTCACCATCCAGCCTGGGCTTGCCCTTCCCCAGCCACACCAGGATAACCCCACCTTTACACGGGTACCAGAAAGAAAAATCCAGCAGCAGCTCAGGATGAGCAGGGATGGAGGAGCATCCCGGGCATGGGGAGCCTTGGAGCCCTCTGAGAGTATCTGGAGAAGGAATGTTTCCCCCTGTGCTTGTATTTTTATGAAGTTCTCCTCCAGAAGCACACAATCCCCAGTTACATGTGAGGGTGCAGGGTGAAGATGCCAGTGGTGACATCACTGCAGATAAATGGGAGCTGAGAACACCTGGATGGAAAGTCCTGGCTCTCACATCATGGTCTGAACCTTTTCTAACACGGTTTTGCATCCACTCAGCACAACCTGAAGCTCTTTCCTCGCCTGGAACCCAACACAATCCCATCCTTAAAGCGTGAAAATGGTTTTTCCTCACCATGATCTCATGAAGGCTTGAAACTCCATCTGGACACATCAGAGTGCACAGGGAAAAAGCAGCTCCTGTCCCAGCAGCTGCTCTTGAGCAGCACCAGCAGGCACAGAGGCCACTGGCTTTATCATTCCTGCCCACAGCTCCTTGAGCTTTGCAAGTCCAAGCAAAGCAGCATTTTCTCCGTGGTTTCTGCCCTGTGCCACATTGAGTTTTTCACACACAGCCACCAACCCTCCAGCTGCAAAACCATCAGGAGAAATTTTATTACATTTTCTAGACACTTCTACTGTCAGCTAAGGGTGATGGTGGTCCTGGAAACACAGAGCTGCAGGAGAGGGGTGTGCTGATCTCTGTCAGGAATTTCTCTGAGCACAGAGCATACAAATCCAGGGAGTTTTTGGGGTCCAGGGGAACCCGAGAACCCCATGCTACAATGTCCTGGGCCTAAACCAGTGCTCAAGGCTCCCCCAGCACTGCACAACCCCTCAGAGCCCAGCCAGGCTGTGACAGGGCTGCCTGGAATCTGGCACCAGCCCACGAAACCTCTCCAGAGGCTGCAGTGCAAAGTCTGGCCGTGCTGGGAAAACCCCCTCCCTCCTGCCCCAGACGGGGAAATGCTCTTTTCCACACAATGGGAAAAGAAAAACAGCAGGAAACCAAGAGAAACATTAATATGAAATATGCCCAGCTCCCCCTCTGCATGAGGGAGGGAGAGGAGGATGGATCTGGGGGGCAGAGAACCTCCGGGGCTGCAGCAGGGACAGCAGGAGGAGTGTGGGGAGACAGAGGGGCCCTTCCCATCTCAGGGCTCTGATGTGCAGCCTGTTACAACCCTGGAAATCATCCTTGCCTTGACTAAAGCCAAGGAAACACCTTGCCCTCCACCACAGGCATCCCGGGTGGAAGACAGCCAGCGGCAAAGACAATTAGCCCTCCCTGCCTGTTAAAACGAGAGTGCCGAGACTGCAGGCTCGGCTCCTGCCTGCTCTCCCCTCCAGACACGCCCGTTCTGGCTCCTTCCCACCAGCCGAGTAGCGGAGAAGCCTCACACTGAGCTCCTGCTGCCCGTGGTACAAACCCATCCCTGCCCTCCATCCCCCGGCAGCGCAGGGAAGGGATCCCATCCTGCCAAAGGCCAGGCCAAAAAATGCTGATAAGGTGTCGTAATGAAGAAATAGCTGGCTTCTGATTGTGATGCTGTGGGTTATAACATCTGTACTGTCTCACCCTTCACACGAGACCAAAAACAGAATAAAAGCTTTTAAAACACCTCTCAGTTGAAAAGGGCTTAATGCGACCCAGGTGTTTCGTGTCACGTTTACAGGTGGTGCCACCACAAGCTGCAGCCTTTCAAGTCTTTTGTTTGAAACCATGAGACAGCCCAGGTGGATCCTAAACCCTGGTTCCAGCATCCCCAGGCTCATCCCACATCATCTCCCCACCAACATGGACATGGAGTGGCTCCTGCTTTCCAGCCCCGCTTTCCCCCAGCACACACACCAGGAGCGCTGGCCCGGGGCTCCTTTTGGCGTGCTCACAGCAGGAGCAGCAGCTCCTCCTGCCCATCGGGTCCCTGCTGCCTGCGAGCTGCCCCCAGGAGGTGTCACAGCAATTAAAAACGCTCATTTGCTTCCGCTCATCCCTGCAGAGCCGCAGGCAGAGCTCCCGCTCCGCTTTGGTTTAAGTGTGTGTATAATATAATATCTATAAATATTATATCTGTGCACGCAGGGAGACACACGAGAAGGGGCATTAGCGAGCTCAGAGCCTGGCTGTGCTCCCGCTGGGAAGGCAGGGAAAGCTCAGCTGATTCTGCTCTGGGGATGGAGCGTGGTTAAAGCCCCAGGAACGCCTGGCTGCTGGGATGTTCCCCTCCTGCACCCTCCTGGAGGAACCTCCTGTCCCACCTACTGTCACAGTGAGCTCATGGGCGCTCTATTTCCCCTTCCCCATTCCCTGTGACTCTGATCAGATAACCCTGGACCCTCCTTCCTGCCCCAAAGGAGCTGCTGGAGAGCCAGGGAAGCCCACCCTGTCCAAAGTCTGTACAGACCCCTGACATTTCCTGTTCTGCTCTTTGTCCCCGCTCTCCCCTTGGACAGCACAGAATAACGAGAACAAAACCAACATATCTGGGGTAAGAGCCTATTTTGGGAATCTTTGCCATCTCCTGATATTCCTCCCCTCACAGCCTCGGATCTCTGGGTTAGCCTGATATTTAGGACGATGTGCAAGGGGGGGAACGTCAGCCTACCGCTCCTAAAATCAACTTTGGCAGCAAATAATCTACTTGCTACTAAAGATGTGGAGTTGGGGTCTTCTAAACTCCTTTTATTTTCACACTGGATCTTCCAAAGCTGCGAAGCAGTAAGCCTGGTCTAACTAAAACCCCTCCTGGTTTCGCTAATGGTTTGGATGTGGCTTGGAGCAGCTTGGTCTAGTGGAAGGTGTCCCTGCCTATGGCAAGGGGTGGAATGAGATGAGCTTTAAGGTCCTTCCAACCCAAACCAATCCATGAATCCGTTCTAACTCGTTGGGGAGCAGCCAGCAACTTTACCCCGGCACCCCCAGCACCCCAAACCCCGACGGGCTGCAGCACCAAAACTGGAAAACAGGGAAGAACACCGGGCTTGGCCAAACCATCCCCTGCGAATACCAGAGCGGCTGACAAACCAGTTGGGTCACGCAGCCTGGTTGTGTTTTCGTGGCTAAGGAGGGAAAGGAAACGAGTCTCGCCCTCCAGCGGGGTGGGAGGCGGGGGAAGGCGCCGTCCCCGGCGGGCGAGATGTGCCCTGACAAGCGGGGATTGTTTTTGGGGAGCAGCGGGAAGAAAGGCGGGCTGGGCTGTCGGTGCTGCGGTGATTCAGGGCTGGAAATGACACCGGGGCATCGCCGGGGCATCGCCGGGGCATCGCCGGGGCATCGCCGGGGCGCTCCGAGCCGCCCGCCACATCCCAGACGCGGCTCGGGGGTGCTGCAGAGCCCAGCGATGCCTCAAAGGGTTAATTTAATTCCCCCTCCTCTCCACCTCTCCATCCATCGTGCTGAGGCCGAACGGTTTTTTTTTTTACAGGAAAGGTGATTTCTCCGCTTGGTTTCAGAAGGAAAATGTGGGATGCTCTGTGCCCCGGCTGAGCCCCCAGCCCCACCGTGTGCGCCTCCCTGATGCAGCTGTGCTCAGCATCCCGCATCCCAACAGCATCCCGCTCCTAAAGCAGCTCAGAAATGCTGGAGCATTTCCCAGCACAAGCAGCCCAGAGCCCAAAATGTGGTTTGATAAGGGGGAGAAGTCAGCGTGCACCAGATACTGCAAGATGGGAGAGAGAAAGGCAGGACAGGGGGGAAAAGTGGGGAAAAAAATCCAAAATGAGAACTATCCGGTCTGTTAGTCCAGTTCTCTGTTCCCATTCCGTTTTTCTCAAATTTCTCCTCAGCTTTTATTTCCACCAAAACAGACCTGGAGCTTCTCACACAAATCTCTGCAGGGACTTCATTGTCCTTTGTCCTTGGCTCCACCAGCACCTCAGCGTGCTCCTCACCCCCACCACGGCTGAGATCTCACATGCCCCGGGCATTTTACACAACTCCCCCGGGATCCGGGAATTTTGGGCATTACCACCCCCCAGCTGCTGTCTGGGCACAGCCCAGCCAGACACCAGCTCTGCCAAACAATGTGCTCTCTTACATTGGACCCTCTCCTATCTGTAGATGATAAGATGATTTCACAGACAAATGTTTCAAATTAAATTTTTGAATTTTCCTTTTTTTTTTTTTTAACGTGGTTTTGGGGTTTTTTTTAACTGCAGTTGATACAGATGCAGTGAAAACATGGACACCAGCCAGGAAAAGCACATAACTGGACATTTGACAGTCTTATGCATCTAAGTTTACACAACATATTGTTGCTAACTGTGGCTTTTTAAAAAGAATTTAAAAAAAAATCTTTAGAAGCAAAGCCTGGAAGTGCTCTGAAAGCCACAAATCACCAGAACTATTTGATGTTATGTGAGAATTTCAGCTTCCTCCTAAAAGAAACTTAACTGCTCAGTTTATTTAGACAAGTTCCACATGCCAGTCTCTGCATTTCCATTGTGTGTGCTGTCCCAAAGTCCCTGGTCAGCAGAGCAGATCCCTTTGGGGAAACTGAGGCAGGGAGACAGGAAAGTCACTTGCCCAGCACCCCCTCATGAGGGATCTGCCACAATCCTGGGATCTGTTCTGAAGCTTCAAGGAAAAAGAACTC